CTATGTGCTTCCACTGCTGCTGCTACTACTACTACTACTACTACTACTGCTGCTACTACTACTACTACTACTACTACTGCTGCTGCTACTACTACTACTACTACTACTACTACTACTACTACACTCCAGGTTTCTTGGGTGATATCAAGGATGCCAAAAGAGGTCCTTTATGGGCTCCGTTGAGGGGTCGATAATGTGTTAGAAAGGTTTAGGGTTTTGGGGGTTAGGATTTAGGGAGTTGTGTTTTGGGGGATTCGTTTCCGGGTTTTTCATCACGCCGATTCGGCTTACTTAGGGAAGCTGTTTTGGGGTCGTTGGTGTATTATTGATCAGGTTGCCACCAACTGGCCGGTGCTCATTCACTGTACTGTCCCGGCACTGCAACCTCGGATCGTGCTGCCGACAGCCCAAACTCCTAGCCAATTTTTTTGTCGAGAGCCCCAATGAAGTGCCGCCCGAACCCTAGTTCGCACCAAACAACTCGAAAAGCCCACATACCTCGCACAGGAAATCGGAATATGGCGAAGGGTGGCTGTACTGGGCCGCCGTGAAAATCCACGGCTCCAAGACGTGACTCGTTCGCATACCATCCAACTTGCAGTGAACCCCCAACCTTAAGTTCTAAGCTGGAGTCAGTCTTGCAGTTGTAAGACAGAACAGAAACCCGTCTAGGCAAACCCTGGACCCTCATCACGTGGCTCGTGCACCCGCAAGACTAATCCGGCTGTGAATTGAGGGCTTTCCTGTTTCAACAATTACTAGGGCGAGACTTAGGCTAGGAGGTCGAGAATGTTTCGGGCCCCAGGTTGTTTTTAGTGTTGAGTGTTAAAAGGTCGCATGAGTATCACCAACACGGGTTCTATTTGTGGGATACTGTAGGGTTCTTTATAGTGGTTACTACACGAATGCTGCTGCCACCATAAATCGTAAATCCTAAAACCCTAACCCTCCTTCTCGAAACAAGGCATCCAACAAAACCTCCCGAATCTAGCTTTGTAGCTTGGTGTTCCTTGTAGGGTTAATTTAGAAATTGTTGCAAGGGCTACTAAGTCTATTCAAGGTTTAGTAGTTTAGGGGTGTATGGGTTTTTGTGGGTTCCGGTGGTTAATCTAAGGCCCGGTCTTATTCGTTAATGCAAGCAGGTCCCAGCCAGTCACCGCCCCAGGACCACGAGGCGAAGCATTCTCGAGAGGGAGCAGGCTCTGGAAGTCGAAGGAGGCGAAGTCCCCTCGGATCTGGATGCCAATGACCACCCAATGCCAAGCATTGGGAAGGAGTATGGATTGGTGGGCAAAGGGTCCAAAGCTTCTACAGGTGGGTGTGGGTGTTCGTAATACACGGAGAGAATAGTGTGTCTGCTGTTGCTAACTGACACTCGGGTTTTATGACGTTATAAATATTGTTTTTTTTTGGCGGCTTCTAGGCCTCCGGCCGGATTCAGGTTGGGGCTTAGGTTAAAGTAGGGTTTGGAAGTTCTGGGCCGAGGGTTGCAATTAAGTGCTTGAGGAAACCAGGGACCCCAATAACACCCCACAGGTGACCAGGCTGCCGACCAGGATGACGAGGATGAGTCAGAGGATTCCGAGGAGGAGAACAATGACGAGAGGGACAGAGTCTTGAAGCAAATGAAGTTTCCAGATCTGCAGGGGGGCGACTCACTAACCTCGATTGCTGTGGCCATTTGCAATTCGCTTCAGAAGCGAATGGCCAAGTTGGCCCTCTTAGAGAATAAGTTCAGTGAGCTCAAGAACCCTCTGGACTTGCACAGACAGACACTTTCTGGCAACCTCAGCAATCGTGTGTGTGTGTGTGTGTGTGCTAGTTACAGGGAAGGACCGCTTGCTAACCTCTATCCCTGGTAGCAACGAAGGATGGGAACGAAGATCACGGAAATGATTGCAAAGATGTCGTCCTTGAACGACTACATGGGTTCGGCCTACAGCTATGGTTTGGTCAATGGCTTCAAGAAAGAGAGCCCGGGCTTACATCAGACGAAGCTATCCCAATAACCCTTCTTCCAAGCCGCAGCCATTCGGAAGTAACTCTCACTTCTGAGCCCGGTAAGTTCAGCTTCAGTGTTGCTAAAGGCATTAAAGTATTCGTGCAGCCGGTAGGTTTTGAGCTAAAGATTCAGCACTGCCCCCCGCACGAGTTCAGGCCTCAAAACACACCACAACAAACCTTAAACCCTGCAGGAGCCTAGACCCTACCTCCTAAGTTGGGAAGTTAGGGCATGGCTTTCTTTATCTAGCAGCCAACCTTCCTGCCTAAACCCTGAACCTAAACCCCTAAACCCTAAACACTAAACCAGGAAACTGAAGGAGCTGAAGCACAAGTTCGCCGAAGCCAGATCGTTGCCTTTACCTTGGCTGTGCAGGACAATCTTCAGTAGGCTCTTGTCATGGTTCTTTGCTAAGGGCTATCGAAAGCTGCTGTGTGGAACGTGGTGGAGTGCCGCTTTGCTAAGATATCACGCTTCAGCAAACCATTGTGTTACGAGTTCGCAGAGAATCATGAGCCAGAATGTTTTTTCAGGTTGATGATGAGTCAGACGGCTGCCCCAAAGCCGCCGGGCGAGGAGAAGCCGAAGTCGGGTGGCAAACCCAAGGGCAAAGCCAAGGCAGCCGCCAAAAAAGCATCGGCCCCGCCACCATCGCCCCCGCCGCCCAGCTCACGCAAGAAGGGGAAGCAGTGAAGCTTGTGCACACTTTCTTGAAAGCAGCTACAGCTGGCATCCATGGGTGGAATGCAAGCTAGAAGTCACGAGATGCATCTGCCGAGAAGTGCATTAAGTGTCACGACCTACCGTGTTTCTTGAATGCGGAACAAAAAAGCTGCTGCAGTTTCTTCGTGGAGGTCCGTGGCACCTGTAGATTAGCCCCAGAAATATAGTGGCATCAGAACTGTGATCGGGGAGTTTATGTCTTACGCCACATGCCAGGTACAACGACTGTGGACTTCGATCGTGCAGAACAGTATGCCGAAATGCTAGGCTCCGGTGTCACGACCTCAGCTTCCCAACCTTTGCATCACTGAGCATTCCCCGAATTTCCCGTGTTCCTAGGCAACTGCGAGTGACACCAAACGATGCTTGTCTCGAATGCTGGATGGCAAGGACGACAAGGCTCGCAGCAAACAGGACAAGGGCAAGCGACCGAAGGTTGCTAATGCTGAGAGGGACTGCCACCGGTTCTTTGGGAAGCATGGTCTATCTCCTAACCTCCCAATCCAGAAAGAGACGGTTGTCTTGGGTGCCGACACCTACGACATGGATTATATTACCATCCGGGATTGGCTGAGATACTTATTGGCCAGGGCTCGATGTCTGGTGGCTGGAGGCGAGGAACCCTTGGAAGTTCAGCTGGAATCGTTCTGGTGTGCCTATCGCTGGGTACACCCGACACACGAGGTCTTTAGTTCCAGTGCCGCAGAAAAGTTACGCCGAACAATCCCTGTGATCTTGTTCGGGGACGAAGGCAAGGGGCCGAAACGTGGGAACTATTTGGTACAAACCTTCGAAACCCCTATGGGCCTTTGGAGCTGCGAAGATTTCAAGTGTAGCTGCCACGATGAGCTTTCGGACTACCCGCAGGAATACATACCTGACTGTTACGGGGACCCTCATCCTGAGTCAGACCCGCATCTTCGTGCAGCACTCAAGGCATGCACCAACAACACTGGCCATGTGTACTTGAAGAGGCACATTCTTTTCGGCATACAAGATGTTGTGTACAAAGATGCCCCCGCCTCCAACACGACAATCAGTATTTTTCTGTGAGTCCCTATCTCCCTAAACTATCCAATCCGAAGTCAACCCTACATCTGAGCCGCACACCGCCCAATGTTCCAATTGTGGAAGCCGTCGTTTTCCTTTCCAATACAACCCAGGACACACTGGATCATATGCTCGCATTGTTTGCAAAGGAGATTGTAGACTTGATGCAGAATGGCTTTCAAGCTGCTTCGAAGCACTGGTATGTGGCATGCATTGGGCACAAGGGAGACCTTAAGCATGTTGCTGAAAAAGCAGCACATCTGGTACGCAGCTATGCAAACCTGGGAAAGAAAAATGCGATAATGATGTGTTCGCTTTGCCATGCTGGTGCTGCTAGCCTGCCCTTTGAGCAGATTGAGCCGAACCCTATGTGGGCCTCCAGTCTTTATGCCACCCGGCCTTGGAACTCCGATCCGCCCCTACTTCCAATCCCATTTGACGATTCGAAACCTGAGATGCTGTATCGTCTTGACCTATTCCATCTATTCAAGGTCGGGACAGGGAGGGACCTGTGTGGAGGCTTAGTGCTATTAGCCAAATTTGGGTTTTGGGACAAACCTGGGGACAGTCTGAAGCTGTCGGAACGCTTGACAAGATGCCATAAAGCATTCAAACTTTGGTGCTCCGTGAACGGGAAGACACCAGCTCTCAGATACTTCTCCATGAGTCTTTTCCACATGAAGAGGTTAACGGACCATCCGTGGGCGAATGTGAAGGGCTCCGACTGTATGCTTTTGCTGCAATTCATCAAGTGGGTGTGCGATGTTCATCTTTCGAGCCCGACTCCTGAATCGCAACCACATGAGCCCCTTCTCAAGCTGTACAGCCGAACCATTGGTCATGCCTTGAAGATGTTTGAGATTTGCAATTCACATCCCTTGTGGATGGTCAGGACTTGTGGGAAGAACTTGTATGCAAATCTGATGTGCTTGCTGAGTGGCTTTGTGTCGCTCGCCAAAGCGACCTTGGATATGAACGAAATGTTTTTCAGCTTGAAACCAAAGCTACACGGGCTGCACCATGTAGCTTTCGAGCTGCAAGAAATGCTGAAGACAGCATCACCAGTGGTGTTGAATCCGCTTGCTTTTGGGTGCGAAGGCAATGAAAGCCACATCGGCCATGTATGTGATCTGGCCCTGTCTGTGGACACAAGACAAATCGATCAAAGAGTGATGCAGAGGTCTATGCTCAAGTTCTGTGCTGTCGCTCGCAGACACTTGGAGAGCCGTTTGCCATAAGTCATAATGCTTACTTAATGCTTATGGTCTTAACCTCGGAAGTTTGAAGCCCTACCCTGAAGCACTGATATGTGGCAAGCTGCACCGATCTGGATCGTGTCGCCCAGAAGCAGGAAAGATCGCTGGGGCCATGGGGCGAGTGGGGACGGTTGTGTTGGTCTAGGGTTCCTTGAAGGTGCTTGCTCTGAGGCTCTGTGTTCTTACGACCATCTATTGAAGATCTCAATTCAACATAGGAATTTTTTTGAGCTTGCACGAGCCAACAAATTCAGGATCGAGGGGGCGCGGGTGTGGTTTCAACCTGTTGGAACACTTCGGACAACAACTATTCCCAAAAGATATCCACACCCTAATTTGGAGACCCATCTTAATCCAATGCCTACTATCCTACAAGTTAGACAGAACAGTGTCGGCAATTCTTGATTAAATGTGGCGTTTCTTGTTTTCGTCGGCTAAAAGAAATCAAAGTGGCAAAAAGAATTGCCGCTTTCCAGTTGTGGCGGAACTTTCTGCCGCAGGAGCTCCTAGGTATATATATCGGAATGATGAATAATTTTCAACTGTTTCTGCGTGGGAGCAGTACTCTCCCAGAACAAGTACGGCCCTCCCCGTTCTTGTCGTGTGAAATTCGTAGAGTCTTTTCTGCTGCACGTGGGATCCACCAAGGTCAGGGCTTAGAGTTTTGCATTAGGTGATATATAGGGGCTACGGGTTCCTGTTTGTGACGCGTTTAGAGCTCAGGGTTTTAGGGTCTGGGGGCGTGAAAATCAAGTCGCTTCCAAGCTTCGGAAGACCATCGCATGGGAAACTCCAAAACCTAGACGCTCAAATCTTAAACCGTCAAACCAAAACCTCAGAATCCAAAACCTAATAACCCCACCACTTAGAGCCTAAGAGCTATAAGGCCCAAAGCCTAAAATCCCCAAAACCCTGAAGTTTGTGAGTCGAGGATTGGTTCAGGGCTTCAGCGTCATACATGCAACGCAATAGGGAAAGAGAAGCCACATGTCCCATGATGCACCGAACTCCTTAAAGCCAGATACTAAGCCCGGATCTTTGTTATCTTTGTTGCGTATTCTGTATTCTACAAATGGAATAGGCACAATAAACGAGGACGACTAGTTTTTGGCACCCATCCGCTACCGCCTGAAATCCGGTGCCCATCGATATATCTGAGTTTGGTTGATACCGCTCAACCGACCCGCCCGTGCCTGCCCTGCCGGCGAAACCCGAAACCTACCATTCCTCGAGCCAACCACCAAACCCTCCCACGAGCTCCTTGACATGCCCCGACACAGCATGATCAAAAAGGCTCTGAGGGTTCACTCAGGGAAGGGCACTTATAGTAAGGATTATAAAATCGCGTGTATGAGGGCTCTTGGAGGGTTCGTTAAGGATCTTGATTGCCATATGAAAAGATGCCCAACCTCGACGACAGACTCAGCCAACTGCATTGGTCGGCCTGCATCGGTGCTCAGAGTTTGCTGGAGGGGCCGAGGTTGAGCTTGGACGGGGTTTAGGAAGTTTAGGGTTAACGGTTCAGGGTTCTTGGGTTAGCTTTTGGGGTGGGGTGTACGGTTGAGGAGTGGGATCAAGGAGTCTTGCCCGGATCCGTTGTGCGGGTCTGATCATCGTTGCGGTCTGAACAACACCCATTCAGGGCAGGCAGGAAACAAAGGAACAGGCCAAACGTGTGCAAAGCGACTTCGACCTCCACTAACTCGTGAGTTCCTACGGAAAGGTGTTCGACATACCGGCAGGTTCAAAATGTCAGTCTCTTGGCGCTTAGCTATTCGTCTCTACTGAGCACGTGTAATTATTAGATGCTTTTGGCGACCATGCTGCGATGACGTGACTTCCACGGTAACAGGCAAGGACGCACGTGCCAGTTTCATCACCACGAGCATCCTGTAGGTCCTGTCCTATCAGCACCAGCTTCTCAATCAGAAAACAGGCACGCTTCAAGTGACCGTTCTTCACCCCAGCAAACGTGCAACCTCCTCCATTTGGCCACTGTCAGATGCGGTCTGCAGTGCCGTCCTGCCGGACCGGTCGTTGCAATCATCCCAATCCTTGTCAGCACCAGCTTTCGCCAGCAAACGTGCAGCCTCCGCGTGGCCACACGTAGATGCGAGCATTCGGGCCGTCATGCCAGACCGGTCTTTGCAATCCTTGCAAGCGCCGGCTTCCACCAGCAAGCGCACAACATCCAAGCGGCCACGCTGAGATGCGAGCATCAAGGCCGTCATGCCGGACCAGTCTTTGCAATCCTTGTCAGCCCCGGCTTCCACCAGCAAGCGCGCAATATCCAAGTTGCCACGCTGAGATACGAGCATCAAGGCCGTCATGCCGGACTGGCGTCGGCGCAGGCAACCATCCAGATCGGCACAACCGTCTACCAGCATGCGCGCAACGTCCAAGTTACCTTCCATGGATGCGAGTATGAGGGCCGTCATGCCGTTCTGGCCTTGACAATCCTTGTCAGCACCGGCTTCCAGCAGCAATCGCGCAACCTCAACGTGGCGTCCCACTATTGCCAGCATTACGGGCGTCATGCCGAGCAGACCTACCAAATTCTTTTCAGCACCAGCGTCCACCAGCAGACGCACGACCTCCACGTGGCCATTCTGAGATGCGAGCTGCAGTGGCGACATGCGGGTCGGGTGCTGGTTCGGGTACCGGCAATCCTTGTCCGCACCGGCTTCGAGCAAGCATCGGACGGTGCGGATATGATTCCTTGCGGCAGCATTCCCCAGATCTGTTGCAACTACGCGGTCGAAACCTTGAGGCAGGCTGGATATGGTCAACAGTACCAGTTGCAAATCCATAGCTCCATCCAGCTCGGTATCCTCAGTTAAGAGCCTGCCGCCATGCACGAGTTGCTGCAGGTACACCGGGAAGCCATACTGTTCACACAAGTGTTTCTTCACGGAACCTGCATCTCTGAACTCTTCTGCACTGATTGCAGCCAGCTCCTGCCCTGAAGGTGTCCAGACACTCAGCATTGCCGAAGACGGATGCGCCGACTCACACTCCATCCAACAGTCCCACAGACCAGGCTCTACAAGAAGACGATCCTGAGAGCAAAACCCTAAACCCTGTACACTCCTGACACCTCATCTGCCTGGCTGCTGAGTTCCCTGGCCCCAGAAACGTTAACCTGTCAACTACTACTGTGTGGCATAATATGCTATGTGTACCTGCGCGAATGAATATTATATATACATTTATGTATACATGTATATATATATATATATATATACATATATATATATATATACACACATATAAACACATACATACGCACACCCAGGGGCTCAAACATTTTCAACTAAGCTGCTTGGTGAGCCCTTCAGCCTTCCCATCCTGCCCGACCGAAATCCAGCGTCACGCCACATGGACTAGGGCTAGGGTTTAGGGTTTAGGAGGCTTGAGAACAACTCTCTCCCCAAAGGCACATGCACCTATATAACAGTGTTGACAATAACGGTAAAGATGATAGGAAGGCGAATCCGTTTTGAATACCCGAGAAACTAGACATGTACTAGTATTAACAGTAATGATGATAATAATATATAGACGACAACAAAAACGATGATAATAAACATGGTCATAATAATAATAATAATAATAATAATAATAATTTTACAGTATATATTTTGACCCTACAGTACCTATACAGGAGCCCCATAAGGCTGAAGTATTTATATAGGTACACGGACACTCAAACCCAAAACCCTTAACCCCTCCGGCAACGCAGAACCACAAAAGATTCGTGATGGTACCCTTTTGGATACCTCATGGAACCGCCTGGAACAAGCCTAAAAGGTACAGGGACCTATAGTATTGATCTTCAGCTGCTACATGAGCGTTTAGAGAAAGCGACTCAGCAAGTTTGGGTTTGAGAAATGTTTAGGGCTTAGCGCTGAGGGTGCAAGTGAGACCCTGTTGCTGACTGAGGAGATACGCGACCCTCCCGGCCAAGCTGCTGACGATTCAGGCTCTCGGATTGCTATGACCGTGAACCCTAAACCCCGAAACAGCAGAGTTCAAGCAAGACGGTGTCTGGCCTGAGAGCAAGATGCAGCGTCCACCCGGTCTGAGGACCCTTGCGGCCTGCAGCATCAAACGCAGTTGCTCGCCCGGAGATAAAAGTACATATCTTTGGTCCAAAAGCACAAGCAGCTCTGTTTGGAAGATGTCACAAGATGTATCTTAATTAGGCAGAAGATGGTCCGAACATATTACGAGATATAAGTACACATATCTTCACTTAATCAAAGATAGGAAGGATAGTTTGCAATCGTAGTTAGACATAGCACAAGATAGAAAAAAGATAGAACAGATAGCACGTACAATCTTTTTTGCATTGAAACGAGAACAGAATCAGCGGTGGCGGTTGCGAATTGCTGCAGACATCTTTGTCTTGACAGAAACATGGGTTGCATTCACTTTAGACAGGTTCGGCGGCTTTTGGGTTCGGAAGGAGAACATGATGTCCAACGAGCCGCACTTGGGGCAGCCTAGTCGTGGGTCTGACAGATTCAAAAGGCGTAGAGGGTTCAGGGCTTTGGAACAAGGGTGTAGTCTGTAAGGTGTTTGGATTTCCACCCTAGACCCTGAATAAACGCGAAATCCTACACAACCCGGGCTGCAGGGTTTAAGGATGCTTATGGTTCGTAGACTGGGGTCTAAGTCAACGACCACCCGTTGAGGGTTCAGGCTTTAGGCTTTGGGCTGGGCTTTGGGTTCTGGGGCTGAGGGTTTAGCGGTCTATGGGGTTTGAGGGTTTTGTGGTTCGGGGCTTGAGGGCTCAGAAAAAAAGTTCTTCGAGCTGGTAGTTGCGACAACAGTCCGTGAAAGACCACGAATGGCATAAGGAAGTAGTGGTCATCAACTCCTGCCCCCCCCACCGAAGCCGCATTTTCGTAAACATACTGTTGATGGACAAAATCCCGCATGACCTTATATACCTAAACTATGGGATTTATGGTACTTTA